TTTAAGGCTGATGGACAAACCGAACAGGTGGTGGATATGAACCCGCACAGGATCAAAAATGAGTTTAACGATCTTTCACGCGTGGAGAAGTACGAGATGCCAGAGACAGAATATGAAAAGCGAACAGGTGTGTGCCTGGGAAACCCGAATTGTGGGCATCTCTGGAAAAGTTTGCCTAATTCGCGACTGCGCAGATTCGGTCCGTGCTTTCAAGCAACGCCATAAGATTGGACGGTTCGCAGATAAGCCTGCGGAAGATGTTCCAGCCGAACCAGACTTTGCGGAAGAAGCCGCGAAAATTCATGTCGGTGACCGGTGTGAGGTTGAAGCTGAGGGCGGACTTTCGAAGCGAGGAACGGTCAAGTTCGTTGGTATGTTGAGGGGGCGCTCCTACTCCAGACTAGAGCTCATCGATTTTGACGTGACGTAGGCACGGTAAAATTTAAGCCTGGCTATTGGGTTGGTATCTCATATGATGAGCCACTGGGCAAACACAATGGAACGTAAGTATCGCAGCTTGCAACCTTGTTACCCGACCGACGTGCTCACAGGAGTGGACGTATCCAGCGTACAAGGCGAATCGTACTTCACATGCCAGCCAAATCACGGGGCCTGTGTTCGACCAAATAAAGTGACTGTCGGGGACTTCCCTGAGGAAGACTTCGACGATCTAGACGAAATGTAAATACATAATTGCGATTATCTAATTGTACAATAGAAATTGAATATTCCAGTAAAGCTGTGTATCGACTGGGATTCTTTTCGTTCCCATCGCTATTTGCCATTCAAGCTGCCCAAAGCTCTGCACAAAAATGATAACGTTGAGGCCAACCCGCGCATGCGAAAACGCAATCCGCTTCAACCCACTCACCAACTCACCGCACCGCCTGTTTGCCTTTCCCTATCCGCACCTCAAATTGCGCATCGTTAACCAAGAAGTCATAATACATGTAGACCAACGGGATTGTAGCAGCATGCCAAAGTGCGTGCGCATCAAGAGTGCCCCACAGCGGAGCAAAATCGAGAAGCTCCAACGACATTGCGGTCGAGATAAGCACGACGCAAGCCATAATCTTCCATGCGTACGGTCGTGATCGCACGTTCGTCAGACCCCACGCCAACCACGTCAAATTTGATGATATCCCGACAATCACCCCCGCCAGCATGTTATATGAATAATCGAACGGCCACAGTGACAGATATGTAATATGGCACAGGAAGAAAACTCCAGCAACAACCATCACCACCCCCAACCCCACCCGAGAGTGGGACTCTGGTCCCGCCAGCCGAAACACCCGAATGAATGAGAGGCAAGTGGCGAACAAGATGGACGCCATCGCCGAAAAGTAGTCCAGTTTCTCCGTGATTGGAAAATCCCTTGTATGGAATACGGCCGACCACACCCACGCATTGACGCCCAACAATGCGTTTCCGAGCATGATATCTCGCAATGGATACCATCGGGATACGCGAAGACGGAGACGGCGGTAACCGCGCCAGTGGGCATATCCGTTGAGAATGGAAAATACGACGGCAGCCGGCTCTTGCATCCCCATAAAACGGTAGAAAGGCCATTTACCATGATACTGCAGGACGCTGTGGCCCGATGCGACGCGTTCTGCGGTGATGCCGTGCATGCAATCATATTGACAGTTTTGGGGGCAGGTCCATAGCGTCAGGACCAGGGTCAGAGGAAGGGAGGATAGTGTTGGGGAGGTGCATACTGCCTCACGGCACCGCTTCGTGCATTCGTTGTAGGCGGGATCGCGGTCCCCCGGAGAGCCGAGGATGCGGGGAAGGCAGAAGAGGAGGAAGAGAAAAGGACAAAGTCTGGCCAAAGCTGAGCGGTGACTTTGTGTGCGGAGGGCTGGCGGAAACATGGCGGAGATGGTTGAGGTGGTGAGCGGCAGAGGGAGAATAAGGAGGTTCAAGGCATTTGAAGGAGGAATAAATGTCGAAAACTCGACTTGGACAGCAGGAGCGCAACCAAGTGGATACCTTCATTACTGGGACCTGGTCATGTGTGCTTTGGTCGGTCGTCATGTCAACCGGAAATGAACCCCGGCCCTTGTATGACTGTGCCCCCAAACGACCCTGCGAAGCCCGACGCGTCGCTGGAATATAAAAGGAGCACGCTTCCCCCCGTTTTCTTGCTTCTTCACAATCGGGGGGGCCGGGCTCGTCATAGCATTCCACTATGGGGGGTCTGGAGTGATTTCGCCACAGCATTCCACTGTGGGGGGGTGGGAGGTCGTTGCAGCACTCCACTGCAGGGGCTTCTTGGTTTGGTTGTCGCCCAATAAAACTAAGAAGAAAAAACACCAAAATAAAAACAAGAAGAAAAAATACCAAACAAACAAAACAAGAAAGAAACCCTCAAGAAAGTTCGAAAGCGAGGTGAGGAAAACCTTCGCACAGGAGGCAACGATTGCACGTAGGCTTGGCCAAGCGCAGCATCTGGCATCTTCACAAACTTCCCTCACCACGCACACGGCAGTTCTTCATCTCTTACAATCTGTTTGAGCGTGGCGGCATTGCGTTGTCTTGGCAAAGGGTGAACGCAATCAGAAGCTGAATGTGGAAACCAACACGGATACTCTGCGAAACTCTGTTATATTTCTTTCAACATGAGCGCTGTCCACCTCCATGTATAGCGACGCGTAATTAGGCTTAGCTAAGGAAATGGGCTGGTTAGGTAATGGTCACGTGACCTTGGGGAACGTTCTGGAAGGATCGCGTCACGGTAGTTGGGAAGTATAAGTAGGAGAGCGATTGTAGGATTGTATTACAGGCAACTAAGAGATTACATGTACAGCCCAATAACCTCCTATAGATTCATTTTTTAAACCCCGAGGCAAACGCAAGGGAAACGGTTCATCGTCGTCCATTTCGTCGTCGGAGTAGTCATTGTTGTCTTCTTCAACATTGCTCGAAGGCTTTGGGAACGTATTGCCAACAAGTTCTTGGGTCGGAGCACAATGCTGCGGCGTGGAGAAAGTTGGAACGGCAACAACTCGAGGAGGCGTCCGAAGCCCGTCCGTTTGCTGTGAATGTTTAATTTTGCAGTCAAGCGAATTGTACATAGTTATCAGTAAACCATAAAGGGTAAAACGATGTGAAAATGTTTTTACCACTGAATCAAGGTTTTGAAGAGATTCTGCATCGAAACTGTCCCTGCTTCGCTTCCCTCGAAGCTCTCGGGTCAAAAGCCCATGGGCCGGAAAAAATTCGGACGCACTCTTCTGAATTTGCAAAAGTGTTCTGTTTTCTACCTGGAGGCAAGAAAGGATGACAATGCGTTATAAATTTCAAGTTCAATACATGATCGGCCGGGGAACTACCTCTCGTTGCAACTTTGCATCCTCAAACGCTACTTTGCACTTTGAATGACAAATGACAAAAAGAACAGAAATATTAGTGAATAAAGGCTGTGTCGAGTAAAAATCATCTATGCTGTCTGAACCGTAGCACACCTGATACTGTGCTCACCCAGCAAAAGCACATGGCCACACAGCGGACAAGTGCCTCACGCAAAAGCGGGGGACCTTGCCAGGGTTGATTCCTGGCAAAAGCCAATCCTCAATCCCAATGGCTTATCATTCCTTCAGGTGTGCATCCACCATTGGAGATTACCGTGTTGACCCAGCAAAAGCACATGGCCACACGGCGGACAAGTGCCTCACGCAAAAGCGGGGGACCTTGCCAGGGCTGATTCCTGGCAAAGCCAATCCTCAAACCCCTCACAAGTGAGCGTAATCCACCAAGGCGTCGGTTCAGTAGCCAGTTACAATACTTACACGTCTATATTTGCCGATTGTCAGGATACTCTTTTCGTGCACCTGACGCTGTCGGCCGGTCAGCGACGCCGTCGTCTTTGTCAGTTCGTTCTCTTTTATGTTGAGATAGGTCAGATAATCGGGCCAGAGTGCATCGGGATAGGCTTTTGCAAAAGTATGGGGCGCCAAGGGCAGTTTGCTGGCCAGCCTTTCGCTGATTGGAGAATCTGCTAGGTAACAAGTGTGAGGGTGAGGGCGACAAGAGCTTCGGAAGCGTGGGCCCTGGTTGAGCCAACCTGCCCACGTGACACGTGACACGTGGATAGAGTTCAGACACTTGAAAAAGATCCACCACCCTGATCACAATGGCGGCAAGGATAACGGCGTAGAAGCGGTTATTAGCGTCGAGAGTTTTATAAAGGATCATGGTATACACGAGGAGAAGAAGTGGAATGACTATTTAGATTTAGTCTACCGATACAAGACCGGAGATTTAACTGCAGAACAGTTTGTTGCAGAGCTAGTAGAAAGGATCTTCTAATACAATTTATGCAATACGGCGATTCCAATTCCACACATACTCAATTAACCTCGGATAATCGTACGTAAATGTGTGCAACAACGCAGCAAAGTCTCGTTTTGACTCTCTCTCCACATAAGCCACTAGTTTGTCAACATAGATGGCATAATGAATACCGATGTTGTCGCAGACATCCAAAGAGAAAATGTCAAACTTTTGTTTCAGTGTATCGGTCAATACTCGATGCAATCGTTTCGGAATGACATTATTTTGTTTTTTGGCTTCCTGTAACCCGTGTGCATTAGAATGGACTTTTTGCTTTAGGTGGTTGGTTCCGCACTAAGATATCTGACCCTTTAAATTTGCGACAAGCTGTTAAAGGAAAAAAACTTGTCCTGCTGTAAACCGACGTGGTGAAGATGGTGGTGGTTTTGATTCCTATTCCTGAAACTGCTCTGGCGCTGGTTGAGATAAAGGGTGTCCTGTTTACGGTCGCGGCTTGCCAATGCAATGGACCCATTCCTCGCCGCCAAGGCCTCACTTTACTCGATGATGCTTTCCACAGCTCGAAGGGTCTGGAATTGTGGACAGTTGGACAGTCCCCTCAACAGGATCGTGGTTGCAGCAATTCAATGGTGGGATGCATGCAGGACGAATTAGTTACAACTAATGATGTGCCAGAAGACATTCCAGGATTCATCAAGTCCTCGATCGTCTAGTGGTCAGGATGCCACGCTTTCAATTTGCGGGGCAACCCGTGAGCAGAGGATCCGTGGAGGCCGGGGTTCAATTCCCCGTCGGGGAGGTTATAGTGCGTAGGCGCCCAGCCGAATACGCGCCAACCGTCTTTTTGTCTTCGCTACATTCAAGTGAAACTCTTCTTTTAACTTTGGACTCTCTATGTGATAGCTACGTTCAAGTGAACCTCTTCTTCAATTTTGTCTCTTGTTGGGACTCTGGGTGTGCTAACTGACTACAGCGTGGTCTCAAGAAGACGCGGTCTCCTTACGTGCGAATACAACGTTGCGCGGCCACAAATGTTATTGGTGCCGAGCAACAATAGATGAAACCAGCCCGTCACCGACCAGCCAAAGGTTTGCTTCCCCAACAACGCTGTGCACCAACCCCATATGTTTGTCCCCAGAAACTCCAACCGAACGAGAGCAAAATATTCAACTCAAATTCTCCGAGTAAAAGGGAACAAATGCGCGCCAAATCGCTCCTCACTCTCATCCCCGCCTTCCTCCTGCTCACCTATCTACCCCACAACTCCTCCGCAACGTGCTGCCTCAGAGATGAGCAAGATCCCCCACCCGACTTGGACCAATTCGGCAACCCCATCTGCGCCCAAAACTTCACGGGCTTCAACAACCCCCAGAGTTGCTTCCAAGACTGTCCCACCCTTTTCCCGGGATTTGACAACTGCAGTGGGCACGGCGGCGACAACCTCTGCTCAAACGCGGCCACCGTCGAGTGCGCCAACTGCATCGATACGTTTTTCACCAGGGGAGTACTGTGACCATTCCTTTTAATATGTGCGGGATGTGATGCGTTGTGGAGGCATGTATGAGGGCGTGGGGATTGCGTGGCGGGCGGGAGGGACCGGGGGAATTGTGCTGCCCGTCCGGCAGTGAAAGCGCAGAAGCAGGGCGTAGGTGGAGGTGAAAGCTGTTGATTTATAGCCTTCGGAATCGGGCGCGTTTCAAGTATTGGTTGGTTCACGTTTTCGAATGAAAATAAAAGCAGACTGGCTGGTCACCCCGCGAGCATTTCCCGTTGTAATGATATAATCCTGAGACGAAACTGGAGCCGCCCAGCTTCCAGGAAAGCTTAAACTTCTTCCGCAGTACACTAACTACTTCCACGTGTCCTTCCTTCACCGCCGAATGCAAGGGTCGCTCCTTTTCAGCCTGAAGGCTGCCCCAAACTCCAATAGCAGCTTACGCCCCCACGTCCACGACCCCTTCGTCCCATTCAGAAGCAGCCTCGCCCAAGGCAGAGTCACTCTGCTCTTCCCCTTTGCTCGCCAATAAACGGACTACTTTGATATGCCCATTCTCGGCTGCTAAGAACATGGCTTCGTAGTCATTGGCGTGCACATCCGCCCCGTTGTCCAACAACAGTTCAACCACTTCGAGGTGCCCGTTACGTGCTGCGGCACGTAAGGCAGAGTCTACGTGTTCGTGGATGTCCGTTCCGTTCTTCAATAAGACGCGAACTATCTCCAAGTGCCCGTTGCCTGCCGCCCACCGCCAACAATGGCGCGGGCTTTGACGTAGTCTCCAGCCTGTTTCGCCCCACACGAGGTCTTTGTGGGTGATGAGATAGAAGAGTTGCCTGTTCATACAGCGTAGTGTGCGTCCGTCGACAAGACGAGAGACTCTAGCGACGTCGCGGAACAGCTCAAGTGGAATGACGGGCGGCATTGTGCAATCGAAAGCGCGATCTTCATTGATGGGAAACAAGTTCCAGCTTTAAGTTTCAAGCATCTGCTGACATAATCCGCAGGGCAGGTGGCGGTGCTGCAAATGGGAAGGCGACTCGAAACGCGTCTCCCCCCCTTCTCCCCTGTGTTCAAGTGTTCGCCCAGTCCCAACCGACGTCCAGAGGTCTCCCTCCACCCTCTTCCACAACCAACTTCCACTGCCAAAGGCCAAAAAAGATGCACACCGTCAAACTTGTTTTCATCGGATTACTTGGATCGGCTGCTGCTATCGCTGGGCCGGTAAACAAACAGCCTGTTGAACTGCAACTGCGTTGTTGACCCGCGTTGCCTTGCCTGCAACTTACAGACTCAATTCTTATGACAGGAACCCACCGCTCCCGCGTACCCAACCAAGGTAAGTGTAGATCACAACGGAGGTGCGGGATAACCACCGCTGAACTTACGAAATCTATATGCGACCGCAGACAATCAAGCATGCCGCTTTGGGCGAACAGTGTGGAGGGTTGGCCGGTATTCCCTGCGACCGCGGGTTGGACTGCAAATTGTCTGGCAACAACCCCGATGCCAGCGGAAAATGCGTTAGGCCTTTGATCACGCCTGGGCCTCCTCCGGCTGTCACGGTACAGATCAATTCAAACGATTGAGCCTTCATTACGATAAGATTTCTTTGCTGATTGAACCATGCTCATACATGTTCCGTTCAGGTCGGAGCTGGCGACCAGTGCGGTGGTTTTATCATGCCGGCGACGGTGTGTAGCTCTGGAATGGAATGTGTTAATCCCACCCCACAAGTGCCGGACATGCCTGGAACCTGCTTCTACACCACCAGGACGGTATGAAACGACATGAAATGCACCAACAGCTTTTCAAATGTCATTGCGTTTGGCCGATATACTCACCCTGCAATGTATTCCATCCTAGGTTGGAGCTGGTCAACACTGTGGCGGTTTCCCACCCGCATTCTCCCCTCCGGCAGTCTGCTCCAAAACCCTCACATGCAAACCGGTGAACACCAACATCCCCGACATGCCCGGCACATGTGTGGCCACCAAAACCACCACGATCCCCACCAAAACCGTACGTACTTGTTTATAGTAGGAACTGCCACCAAACCTCGCCAACTTACACCATCACTCATAATGTTGTAGGTGGGACTCGGACACAAGTGCGGTGGGTTCCC